CTCCCCCGATCACGAATTTACTTCAGGTTTTTACCAAATCTTGTGGAACAGGCCCCAGACCGGGGGGAGTAGACTCTAAACACACTCAAGGTAACTCCAGGTAAGTACACATATTTATGTAATCCCACGTGGAGTTAAAAGTAAAAAGAATAAAGAAAACAAGAGAAAGGTTTGAGAAGAGCGGCTAGATAAGACGGGTTACACAAGCAAATGAATAAATACATAGAAAATAAGCAAATAATGTAAATCTGGAACAAACTACATGATACAATATAAACTACATCATACAATATAAAGAATCTAGAACTTCTGAGGCATTAGCAGAAAAAAGGCACTTATAGAAAAACACAGTTAATATACGGATTATATTTTGATACGTGGCTGAAAGGAGAAAAAAATGAAGATAAATGTTACACATAAGAAAAGTTACAAAAATATGGCAAAAATCTTAGATTTTTTATTAAAAATGTCAGTAAAGTTGTAGATGTTAAAGAAAAAATACCTGAAATTTTACATATATTAAACAGAAATGTCATAAAAGCTGAAGAAATTATTGTAAAAGTCAGTAATGTTACACAGGTTAAACAGAAATATCATAAATGTTCCAAATATGAATCAGAAATATCATAAATGCTGCATATCTTCAACGGAAGCTGAGCCTCGACTCCTGCAACCACAATAGGAGAGGACACATTCTCTGGCTCTCAAACCATAACACGAGACCAACAACCAGCGTACACAACTGCGGAATACATGCACTGCTGAGTCACTTATGTTTACAGTTTGTAAGATGCAACAGCCCCTCACTCCCTCCTTACCCTCCCCTCAGGCTCTTCACACATGCTATCTAGTATTAGAAGTTTGTGTAGATGAATGAAACGAGGAGGTAGTAGGGTAAGGAAGGAGGCAAAGGCAAAACGGAGATGGGGAAGGGGATATTTGGTGGGAGGAGGCTACATAAGGAAAACTCTCGTGTTAAGCTAGGACATTACCAGATACGAATATTTATAAGTGTATTTTTGGTGGAGGTCAGAATGATAGATTATTGAACAGATTTATTTTAGATCTGATAAATGGATATATGAATGATTAATAAGATGATTAAACACGATTTTGAAATACCTGAAAAAGAGAGATACAGCAGCAGTACCACCACCTGAGAGAGAGTCAACAGTAAGACACAGCACATGTAAGAGCCCTCCCTATAGTGGTTCTTACCTCGTGTGTTTGAACCAAGAGTGTGCAGCAGGATGGTGTAGTCGTTCTCCACTGGGAAGTTGTCCGCAGCACACCACCACACCTCTGACATGATTACATGGGCGGCCACCACCATACCTATCACCCTCGCCACCCGCCTATTCCTCCACAACGAGGAATGGGCACCCCCGCTGCTCCTTGGGTAGTGTGGGCACCTACCCATGACTGACTAAACTGGTACTGGCCACTCCGTGTCACATTTAAGTGTTTTACTGGTCATTTGACTTCCTGTTTGGTCCTGTTCAATGTGGGGGAAATTATATATATAGGTCGTGCCGAATAGGTAAAACTGGTCAAGCAGAAAACTCATTTAAAATTAAGTCCTTTCTAAAAAAAATTTCTCTTATAGGTTTAAAGATACATTTTTTAATTTGTGTTAACGTAAAAATTAATAATTTTGTACCAAAAGAACCTTAGAAAACTTACCTAACCTTATTATAACAAGCGCAATTTAATCTAGCCTAATCCAACTAAATATATTTTAGAAAAGTTTACTATAATTTAATAATAAACAATGAAATATTAATTTTCGTTAAGTTCCGAAATTATTGCATACGGAAGTTTTCGCTTGCCTTATTCGGAAAGAGCGTTGCTATTTAAGCCAAAATTGCAAGCTTTACCTATTCGGCACGACATTATATAAATATATATATATATAAAATATATATATATATATTATATATATATATATATATATATATATATATATATATATATATATATGTCGTGCCGAATAGGCAGAACTTGCGATCTTGGCTTAAATAGCAACGTTCATCTTGCCATATAGGACAAGTGAAAATTTGTGTATGCAATAATTTCGCCAAAATCATTCTGAACCTAACGAAAAAAATGTATTTCATTGTGTTTGTTTAGTATTAAATTATTGTAAACAAATCTAAAATATATTTAGTTGGGTTAGGCTAAAATAAACTGTTCTTGTTATAATAAGGTTAGGTAAATTTTCTAAAATTCTTTTGATGCAAAATTAAATTTTTTTACATTAACATTAATGAAAAAAATGTATCATTAAGCGTACAAGAGAAAATTTTAGAAAGGACTTAATTTTAAATGAGTTCTTGCTAATTGACCAGTTTTACATATTCGGCACGACACACGCAATATATATATATATATATATATATATATATATATATATTATATATATATATATATATATATATATATATATAATATATATATATATACACACACCGGTGATATGTGACAATAATAATCATTTGAATTCG